TCCTGCGTGTTGTGTCGCAGCAAACCGTCCACCTGCCTGCTGACAGCCAGCAGCGGGCCACAGCCCTCCCTGCGCTCCCTCCAGCCATATCTGAACAAGCAGGTGCTTGTTTGCCTGTCCTCTCCTTCCCAGCAGAGCTGGCTGGTGTGTTAACCCTTCCCTTCCCTCCCCTTCCCTGGCAGGTGGGCAAGCCTCAGGGCAGCGAAGTTGGGGTGAATTAGAATTGCACCCCAAATTCGTGGATTTACATAGGAAACGAGGAATAATAATAATGCGTGAAACACTTCCAGGCAACGTGCTCAGAATGCTGAGCTGCTGCTGCTGAAGGGCTTGATAGTACAGGAAAACATTGGGCGAGGGATTTAATAACAGCCTTTCACAAAGAGGGAGAAGCCAAGATCTGAGTTCCACTCTCGTGAAATCCAGACAGAGGGATCATTAACTTTTATTTTTAGGCTTGGCTGAATAATCAGAAGGTTTGAAGATTTGCCTTCTCTGTTTTACTTGTTTTAGGAGGAGCTGTGATGGAATAGCTGGGGTAAAAAGCGCACCGGATTATGAGAACCAGCGCCTCTGTCACTTCCAGGGATGTACTTCTGCGACCAGAGCATTTCCACAGCTCAGGGCAGCCACATCTCACACTGCCTGGGCTGGTCATGCACCTCCAGGTGGGAGAATGCAGCTGCGGGAGGGCCCAGACCTTCCTCCCACATAGCCCCTCTCTGTCCCTCCCTGCCTCCCTCCGGCACACGTTCCTGCGCCTTCCCCTGTGCTCCGGGTTGCAGTGCTCTGGCTCTGGCCTGCCCACCCAAAGGGCTTTCTGGCAGCAGAAGCTGCAGCTGGAAACCAAAGCGTGGGCCCATTTTGCCAAGGAATTCCGTGTGCCGGCTGCAAGGAGCTGGCTACGGCAGTGAACGTAGGCTGGCTTGGCCATCCCCGGGTGCTGCCAGTGGTGAAGCTGCTGCAAACAAGGCCAGCCCCTCTGCCTGCTCCCACATGGAGCAAGACCCTGCCATGCAGAGATGGCCTTACTCACCGCTACCACTGAACGTTTGACAGATGGGTGGGTGGGGGAGTAGGCAAGCTAACAAAGCTAGCGCCAATTAAAGTGAGATTTGGTCCGGGAATTTCCCCCTTCTCCTTTCACTTCCCTCCAGCTGCGAAGGGGGTGGGGATGCTTGCTCGCTGTTCCAGGAGGAAAATTACCCCTGGCTGAGGTTAATGAATGCACCCGATGCGGTGGTGGCTGTGCCTGGCCAGGGAGACGGGCTGCCGGTATTACGTGTTGGGCTGCATGCCTACCCCTCCGGCCACAGGCTCTGATGCGTACCCGTCAGCCGCAAGGCTCTGGCGAGAGGCCCCAGCTGGAATTAACCTGCAGTAACCCCGCAGCGCAGGGGCAGCCTCGGCAGGCGTGCCGGCTGGTCTGACAGGAGCATGGAAGCCATTATAATCCGCTCATTCATGGCGCTTAAAGAGCCAGAGATTTTTGCCCTGGTTCTCCTGGAAGGGCAGAGGGTTTGGAAATGATAACGCATGGCATTCTCTGTCCTGATGGGGCATTGCGTGCTCTACCGAGCCTGGCCCACCACACTATCACTCCAACAAGTTTTAAAGTAACATTTTTATTAGGAACAAATAAAATTTCAGATCAGCACAACCAGATGTCTGTTTCCATATTAGTAGAAATATTTTCAAAACGTTTTTTTTTTTTTTTTTTTTTTAGTTATGGTGTTACTTGAGTAAATTTTTGATATTTAAAGGAAGCTCCTCTGTTTTTCCCAAAGCATCACAACCTTCAGAATAGCTAGCTGAGATTTGTGCAGATTCAACTTTCCAGTCCTTCCCTGAACTCCCACCACTTGGACATCTGCTCTCCTCAATACCAGCGGGGCTGGGAACGGTTCTGGAAAACAAACCAGCCGATGCGTGTGCCAGCAGCAGTGTGCATGTGGTATATACACGTCCCTCCTCTGCACTCGGCCGGCAGGCAGCGAGCCTCACCACACCCCGGGGGCACTGGCAGGGAAACTGAGGCACAAAGTGTTGGTAAGTGACGCTGTCCCAGATCATGCAGCGAGCGAGTAGGTAAGCTGGGAGCAGGTCCCAGGAGAACGGCTGTAAAATCCCACGTCTGCCTTCTCTGCTTCCACCTCTCACAGACTCATTTAAGCTAAACATACATACGACACGTCCAGGATACAAACATGCCACCAAAAATATATATATATATTTAGAGGTGTATATATATATATATCTCTCAAACAAAGTCCTACTTAAAGTGTTGTATCTGTTTCTTAATCTAACAAAAATTCTAACTCAAATACATTCAAAATCACCTGCACCCACAGTTCAATGTAGGCAATTAAATAATTAAGAAACCCCTCGAATGTTCAGAATTCAGCCAAAAAAAAAAACCAACACCAAACGGCAAATAGCTGTCAATACTCCTATGTATATTAAAGAAAGATTTAAGGCATCCAGAGATATTTGCCAATCTACCTTTAAAGTGACTGGGCAAACACCAGGACTGTTTGGTTACTGCTCCTCAGTTTCCACCCTAATTCCATATTCTGGACCCAACTCAGCATTTGAAATCTCAAAGGAACCCTTGATGTCAAACTCGCTTCTCTGCTGAGAGGATGTGAACTATTGCAGCATGTCATGGCATGCTTCTCTACCACAGGGCATGTCACACAACATGTTAAGGGCACCAGGAGCGAGGAAATAATTCTCCTCACCTCCTCTCCCCACACCCCTTTCAAATTACTGGCTGGAGCAAATTCATCTTCTCTGGAGACTTTCATGAGTTCAGAGGGGTTTAGACTAGAAAGAAGCCAGCCTGCAATTACAGAGCTAACAGTGTTTCTCTATTTTTTTTTTTTTGGGGGCTTTTTTTTTTTTTTTTTTAATTGGAAGGTAAAGTTTCCACCCACCCG